GGGGGACCCAAGGCCATCTATTCTTCTTAATCTTCTCCATCCTTTCACCAGTCTTCAGTCCTCTCCTTTCCACGATATACATCACATGTTCAGCACAGTGGAGGCACAGTTTCTTGCTCAATCAGGAACTGACCTTTATACAGACTAACCCCAGCGCCAGTGTTGTACGAATGTGACGCTGACACGCTCACTCAAACTCTCGCTTCATGTGCACACAGACACACAACTTAAAAACAGATTTTTCAACCGAATCCCTAGAGGGACAGGAAGCTGAAATTAACAATGCTCTTTATCCAAAAATATCTCCCTTCCTGAGTTCCAGAAAGAGAAACATGGGAATGATCAAACTAATTGCAAGAGCACTGGTTACTTCGTTGATCAAAACAACAATAACAAATGCAAGTAATTGTTAAGGAACTCAACAGTTTGGGAAGACATATTTCTAGACATTTAGACTTTAATTTAGATAATTTGACAAATGCGCTCCTCTAGTTTGGCTTCCTCAGAAATTAACAAGTGCAATTAGGCTACACGTTAATGGTAAAATAAAATATGTGTCACTGATTAGAAAGAACAACAAGAAATACCATAGAAATACCACAAACTGGAAAGCACCAGGGGAACTTCTTACTGTGTGTGGTGAGACTGTTATCAGAGTCGTACATCTGAAGAGTTAAACAGTTTTTAGTCCACCAGATGGCTGAGTTCATACTCTGGCAAGAGGTCACACATGACATCATCCCATAAGAGTGATTAGACTGACGGATGTTCAACTTTACCCCCTTTATTAGGAAAAAAAATAGCTTAGTCTTCCAATCAACAGAATCAAGCAGTTCCTGGTTAAAAATTGACCTTGTGGAGGCGATAGATTCTCCAGTCTTCCTGCTGTTGCCATACAAAAACCAATCATCTAACTAGACTGTTGCCATAGCACCAAGGCAGAGCTGGAGGAAAACAACCTGTTACCTTTGGAAAACCAAAGAGCATAAAGCAAACGGATGAAATCCACCCTCTCTCATTAAGAACAGTAGCACCTGGAGATCAATTTCTTAATGCAACCCTAACACTGCAGCTTTACTTAAAACTTAAATATAAGAGAACCATCTATTGTAGCATCTTTATGCCTTACATGAAAGCAGGTGTGTTTAGTAGTTGTTTCGTGACCTATAGCCCAGTTTACAGGTGAATTTGTACTAGTGTAGTGAGCTTTAGAGCATGCTTTGATAAGCGGAAGAGATAGGCTCACCTTATGGCCTACTGCATTCCATGTTAAAGCAGGGCTCGACAATAAGGACTGCCCGATGGCCCGGGGCCAGCATGAAAGATGTTCGTGACAATAGACGGATTTGTCACTTGCCCGATCGGGCCACTGCAGCGTCGTCACAACATTTAATCATTTGCATGTGTTAAGACTTGTTAATTAAAAAATTAAAGCGATTAAAAAGCATTTGGCTGAGAAAGACAACTCCTTTCAGTACTCGCGCGCTGTTCTGTGTGAACAGCGCACGCACAGACAGCCGCGTCTCTGACACGCGCGAGCCGCCTGAACGGGCAAAAACATACAAAAGTATGTCAAAATACCCATCCTGGCAAGTAACTTTGTGGCTTTAACAATGATTAATCTATATTGAATTTATACACTGGAGTACAGATGCACCGACCTGCCGGACATTTTTTGTTTTATTTCAGACTATCTTCTGTTCCGTGCTTGCACACAAACTGCACTGCAATCATTTTCCCAATGGCCATTTGTGTGGAAATATTACGTTATTATTATACTTAGTCTGTAAACGGCCATTAACAGAGGCCAGAGATGCTGAAGACGGACACAAAGAGGAGAAAATACTGTAGCAGGCAGAACAAGATCACTGTTCACGATGCGCAAAATATAGGACGAAAATCCAAATATTGTATTTTATATGAATGCGTTTCTGAGGTGAACGGAACTGACTGTTTTCAGAAATGGCGTTTTCTTTTCATTTTGTCTCAGTATGATGCATTTAAATTAGTGTTAATACGCACAGCGCTGCTGTGTTTACAGCGGCAACCAAGGAAACACTGTATTACTGTACCATAAGCACTACCTGCTGTCAGAGAGTGAATCTGTCTCATTCAGCCCACCTGCGGTTTCTGTTTCATACAGATGTTTTATGTAGCATAATTTCACAAAGCTAAAGTCAGGTTATTCTGTTTTTGCTTTAGATTTTGAAATTATACAGTCTAATATAAAATCAAACATTGCACTTTTTTTTCAATTCATGATTAAAATGCAGTGGTTGCCTCTAATTTTCAAATGGCTATGAAAAGTCAAGGTGCAACACAGAGTGAAGAATATGCAAATGTTATTTTATATGTGATGTTTCAATTTCTGTACCTGAACATCTACAAACATAAAAACCTAAAGCATCATTTAATTTCTATTTTTGTGCTATAGGCCTATATTTAATTGTGCTATTACTTGTAATTTGTTCATTTGTTCTTATTTACTGGCTGTCACTTGTCTTTAATAATGTTTAAACTTTATATTTATGTTTATTTTTGGCTAGTGATTTTTGCTATGGTATCGAAATTGAAAGAGAATTGTACAATTTAATTGGTATCTAAAATATTGGTGTCATATAAGCTTATTTATTAGAATACAAGATAACAGAACAAAAACAATGATAACAGCAACTATTTTATTTTTTGTGGCAGGGCCAGTGAAAATGTTGGCAGGGCAAGTAAAAATTTTAACCACTGGCCCAACGGGGCCAGTAGAAAAAATCCTTAGCGTTGATGCTATAAAGCAATGTTTTTTTTAGCAGTAAGTCAAAATATAAAACATATAAGGAATGTAGAATATTTCTTCAGAGAAGTATGGGACCGGTCACACAAGATACATTCTAGAGTTAAAACAGCAAGGTGGAACTGACTATAATAAAGTGCATTTATATGCATATTAACTTACATCCCATGCCGTTTGTGTATTTGTTTGTTTAAAGCCTTCTTTGGCTATTTTTATGGCAAAAAAAACCCTACTTGAGTTATTAATTTAAAAAAAGAAAAGAAAAAAAAAAAGTCTCAAACTACATTTGGATAAACCTGATTACAAATCTTTAATGGGTATCAACAGAATAAAATAAATTTCTCAGAGTAGTAGAAATATTACAATAAACTCAATTTCCAATTTTTAAATATGCTTATCCCATCACCAGATTCTTCTGATTGGTCCAGTAATTGGTCTTGCAAATTTTTACACTGACCAACATTTAAAGAAAATATGGAGTGTAAAAATGCATCCTCTGTGAATGACTAAGACATGTTCAAATAGAAAGGGGGGGAAAAAACATGCTAATTTTATGCACAAAGGTGTAAAATCTACAGCTGGTTCTGTGAACCAGGACAATTATGGTATACTCGAGGGAAAATAGTTGATTCTCATTTTCCAGGTCTGCTCACATGCCACAGTCTCTCCTGTGTAATGGACATATGATCCAATTAAACGCTCATTAAATTTAAAACTGATTTCTCTCAGTTGTACAAAAATGGTAGTCCTAAATTGACAAACTCAACCACGTCCACCAGAAACATGATGCAAAATAAACACCGAACAGTGTCTATTACTGTGTCCTGAGGACTGTTTAAAATTTCATCAGCTTGGCCTTGTTGTCGTGGATCTACCTTAATCCAAAAAGCCAGTGGGGCGTCTGCTCTGGGGATGGGATAGCTTTACACCTACCCTGTCTGACCACACCACGCCACAGCCTTGGCAGCCAACCGCCACGTGGCTCACAATGCCTGACACAAATGTTGCCCGAGTCAGATTACACAATACACAACCATTGTGTGTATTTGTGTGTTGGAGGTATGCAAATAATAGACGCGGACAGCTCATGCAAATACAAAGAGAGTCCTCTTTAAACTTCCTAACACTGTTAGAGCTATCTGCATATCAGTGTAACATGTAGCTGATGTAGAGACGTGGATACGAATTATTCAAAACCAGGCATGTAATATAAACAAAGCAATATCAAACCAAATGAATAGGAAAATATCAACTCAGCCACTTGAATGTAACAGTCTCTTTCTCCCTAAGCATATTCCTACGATCCTCATCTAAAACAATCTGGATTGCTCCATAGATCCTTTGACAACCTTTTGAGCTCGTACAGACTCCTCTGAGATTAAAATACTTTCTCAGTCTATATTGAACTGTGATGAGTAATTATAGCTCACAAAAACAAATAACGCATAGGTACATGATCCCTATGCAGTTCTCCTATATGCCACACCTCAAATGATGAATCTGCTGGTCTCTGGGGCTATAATGGACTACAGATGCAAATTAGAGTGTGTGCAGTCACTGTAAAGCATCCATTAATAGTTCATTAGCTTTTATAAACAGTCCATTGAGTTCTCAAGTGAGTGTACTTATCTTATTGAGTGAGAATTATTTATAAGCAACCAGTATAAGCTACTTGTGATCCTATAATACTATATACACATGCATTTCAATGTGTCTGAAATGCAGGTTTCTGTGTCCTTTGCTATAGATAAGGGCAATTTATGGTTTATACACTTTTATACTAAACATATTAAATCTGATCAGATGAGGCTTTGTGAAAGGGCCTACACGCAAACACCTGTGATAGCACATCAAATGAATTTCTAATGTGCCAAGTTGCTACAAACCATTAAAATGATTAGTCAGGCTAATGAACTGCATTATTTGTCAGAGGACTATGCTATTAATATCTAATTTATTGGTTTATTTGATTAAACTGCTAGAAAGCACTCAAAGCTGTGTGTTCATGTTTTACCAAGGTTAAGGAAGCTTCATGCATTACCTCTAGCTTTTTGCTTTATTATGCCCCACTCCCATAACAAACAGGAGCGGTGGTTGACCAATATGTCTTTTATGTCAATGCCAATATCTAAGGAGCAGGATGATTGATCAAGTCTGATAAAAGCTAACCAGTTTCATTAGTAAATAGTAATGAACTCTGTGGTTCTGCACTCACCCTGTTATGTGCGGGGCCTTCCGATCTGTGACCTGCGCTGGCACTCATGGTGTCTTGGCCGTCTGAGGTGGATGTGTGGGTGGGGTCAGTAGTATCGCTGCTGGTATAGACTCTGTGTCTCAGGATAAAGGCGGCGCCCTCGTCCTCCCTCACCTCCCCCCCGTCCAGCTTGCTTCCTGTTGCTGCTGCTCTTTCTTAATGAAGCTGGACCACCCTGGCCCGAGAGGGCGCTCGACTCCAAAACTGTCCTCCGTGGATTCACAGCAGAACACGAGACTCGCTAATGGACCTGGTAAAAACATAAGAAATAACATTAAATATAATAGACTGTAAAAGATATAATATATAAAGATATAAATCTTACTGACCCCAAACTTTTGAACGGTAGTCTACATAAGCCCACATTCATTATGTTTCCTTAATTAGCACAAGGGGGCTTTTTACGTGATATAGCTGTAATTAACAATCATACATTTGCCAAATCATATGCTCTGAAACAGCAGCAGCTAAACATATAAACTGGCTCCAATCAATGCCCATTTACTTCTGCTTGCTAAAAGTATGGGGTTAGATGGCACTAAAATACATGTGACTGCAACGATTGAGAAGTTATGCATCTGGTCAGCTGTGGGGTTAAATTACATAAGAGTAACGGCTCAATGGGCTTTTTATGAACGGAGTAAAAAGAACTTAGTGAAACTACAGAGAAGTTAATAAATCCTGTTTCACAACCGGTTTTGAAACCAGTGATGCTGCTAGGGATGTAACGATTAACCGCGAGCCAGTTGAAAATCGATTTAAATATGTGACGATTCAAATCGGTTGAGATGCTAAACAAATTGCAATTCAATTGGGGGTAGGAGTTTATATGAATGTATGTCTGAGGGGAACTTACTGTCTTTCGATGGTATTTTTTCCTTTTCCTCTTGCCTCTGTATAATGCATATTAAAGTTC